GATACTGGACACCGGGCACTAGACAGGACAGAACCCAAAACTCAACATACAGATAATAAACTAAACTCAAAAGTGCAAAACAAGGTATGGCTGACAGGCAGAGTGTGACAAGAGCTCATTGTGAAGACATATAGAAAGGCAGGTACTTCATCAAAGTACAGAAAGAATGACAATATCAAGATTTAAAATAAAATGAGGTACATTTTGTTCAACATATACTTTAGTATGTTGTTCTACTCACCCTCTCTGCTCTGTTGTACTGTAATATACTATAATAAAGTATAGTATAGTATAGCATAATATAGTATAGTATAGTATAGTATAGTATAGTAATATAGTATAGTATAGTATAGCATAATATAGTATAGTATAGTATAGTATAATATAGTATAGTATAGTATAGTATAATATAGTATAGTATAGTATAGTATAGTATAGTATAGTATAATATAGTATAGTATAGTATAGCATAATATAGTATAGTATAGTATAATATAGTATAGTATAATATAGTATAGTATAATATAGTATAGTATAGTATAATATAGTATAGTATAGTATAGTATAGTATAGCATATATTATAGTATAATATAGTATAGTATAGTATAGTATAGCATAATATAGTATAGTATAGTATAATATAGTATAGTATAGTATAGTATAATATAGTATAGTATAATATAGTATAGTATAGTATAATATAGTATAGTATAATATAGTATAGTATAGTATAATATAGTATAGTATAGTATAGTATAGCATAATATAGCATAGTATAGTTAGTTTAGTATAATATAGTATAGTATAGTATAATATAGTATAGTATAGTATAGCATAATATAGTATAGTATAGTATAGTATAATGTAGTATAGTATAGTATAATATAGTATAGTATAGCATAATATAGCATAGTATAGTTAGTTTAGTATAATATAGTATAGTATAGCATAATATAGTATAGTATAGTATAGTATAGTATAATATAGTATAGTATAGTATAATATAGTATAGTATAATATAGTATAGTATAATATAGTATAGTATAATATAGTATAGTATAGTATAATATAGTATAGTATAATATAGTATAGTATAGTATAGTATAATATAGTATAGTATAGTATAGTATATACTACACTATTATTATGCTGCGCTAGTATAGCATAGTATAATACAGTATAGTATAGTATAGTATAGTATAGTATAGTATATACTACGCTATTATTATACTACGCTAGTATAGTATAGTATAGCATAATATAGTATAGTATAGTATAGTATAGTATAGTATAATATAGTATAGTATAGTATAATATAGTATAGTATAATATACTATAGTATAGTATAGTATAATATAGTATGGTATAGTATATACTACACTATTATTATGCTGCGCTAGTATAGCATAGTATAATACAGTATAGTATAGTATAGTATAGTATAATATAGTATAGTATAGTATAGTATAGCATAATATAGTATAGTATAGTATAGTATAATGTAGTATAGTATAGTATAGCATTATTAGTATAGTATAGTATAATATAGTATAATATAATATTATAATAGTATAGTATAGTATAATATAGTATAGTATAGTATAGTATAGCATAATATAGTATAGTATAGTATAATATAGTATAGTATAGTATAGTATAGCATAATATAGTATAGTATAGTATAATATAGTATAGTATAGTATAGTATAGTATAGTATAATATAGTATAGTATAGCATAATATAGTATAGTATAATATAGTATAGTATAGTATAATATAGTATAGTATAGTATAATATAGTATAGTATAATAAAGTATAGTATAATATAGTATAGTATAGTATAGTATAATGTAGTATAGTATAATATAGTATAGTATAGTATAGTATAGTATAATATAGTATAGTATAGTATAGTATAATATAGTATAGTATAATATAGTATAGCATATACTACGCTATTATTATACTACGCTAGTATAGCGTAGTATAATACAGTATAGTATAGTATAGCATAATATAGTATAATATAGTATAGTATAGTATAATATAGTATAGTATAGTATAGTATAGCATAATATAGTATAATATAGTATAGTATAGTATAGTATATACTACGCTATTATTATACTACGCTAGTATAGTATAGTATAGCATAATATAGTATAGTATAGTATAGTATAGTATAATATAGTATAGTATAGTATAATATAGTATAGAATAATATACTATAGTATAGTATAGTATAATATAGTATAGTATAGTATAGCATAGTATAGTATAGTATAGTATAATGTAGTATAGTATAGTATAGCATAATATAGTATAGTATAGTATAGTATAATAGTAGTATAGTATAGCATAATATAGTATAGTATAATATAGTATAGTATAGCATAATATAGTATAGTATAGTATAATATAGTATAGTATAATATACTATAGTATAGTATAGTATATACTACGCTATTATTATGCTGCGCTAGTATAGCGTAGTATAATATAGTATAGTATAGTATAGTATAGTATAGTATAATATAGTATAGTATAGTATAGTATAATATAGTATAGTATAGTATAGTATAGCATAATATAGTATAGTATAGTATAATATAGTATAGTATAGTATAGTATAGTATAATATAGTATAGTATAGTATAGTATAGCATAGTATAGTATAGTATAGTATAGCATAATATAGTATAGTATAGTATAGTATAATGTAGTATAGTATAGTATAGCATAATATAGTATAGTATAGTATAATATAGTATAGTATAGTATAGTATAGTATAGTATAGCATAATATAGTATAGTATAATATAGTATAATGTAGTATAGTAATATAGTATAGTATAGTATAGTATAGTATAATACAGTATAGTGTAGTATAGCATAATATAGTATAATATAGTATAGTATAGTATAATATAATATAATATAGTATAGTATAGTATAGTATAGTATAATATAGTATAGTATAGTAATATAATATAATATAGTATAGTATAGTATAATATAGTATAGTATAGTATAGTATAGCATAATATAGTATAGTATAGTATAGTAAAGTATAGTATAATATAGTATAGTATCGTATATACTACGCTATTATTATACTACGCTAGTATAGTATAGTATAGCATAATATAGTATAGTATAGTATAGTATAGTAATATAGTATAATATAGTATAGTATGATATAGTATAGTATAGTATAGTTTAATATAGTATAGTATAGTATAGTATAGTATAGTATAGTATAGTATAATATAGTATAGTATAATATAGTATAATATAGTATAGTATGATATAGTATAGTATAGTATAGTATAATATAGTATAGTATAGTATAGTATAGTATAGTATAATATAGTATAATATAGTATAGTATAATATAGTATAGTATAATATAGTATAGTATAGTATAGTATAATATAGTATAGTATAGTATAGTTTAATATAGTATAGTATAGTATAATATAGTATAATATAGTATAGTATGATATAGTATAGTATAGTATAGTTTAATATAGTATAGTATAGTATAATATAGTATAGTATAGTATAGTATAATATAGTATAGTATAATATAGTATAGTATGATATAGTATAGTATAGTATAGTATAATATAGTATAGTACAATATAGTATAGTATAGTATAGTATAGTATAATATAGTATATAGTATAGTATAATATAGTATATTATGATATAGTATAGTATAGTATAGTATAATATAGTATAGTACAATATAGTATAGTATAGTATAATATAGTATAATATAGTATAGTATAATATAGTATAGTATAATATAGTATAGTATAGTATAGTATAATATAGTATAGTATAGTATAGTTTAATATAGTATAGTATAGTATAATATAGTAAAGTATAATATAGTATAATATAGTATAGTATAGTATAATATAGTATAATATAGTATAGTATGATATAGTATAGTATAGTATAGTTTAATATAGTATAGTATAGTATAATATAGTATAGTATAGTATAGTATAATATAGTATGGTATAATATAGTATAATATAGTATAGTATAGTATAGTATAATATAGTATAGTATAGTATAGTTTAATATAGTATAGTATAGTATAATATAGTATAGTATAATAGTATAATATAGTATAATATAGTATAGTATAGTATAATATAGTATAGTGTGATATAGTATAGTATAGTATAGTTTAATATAGTATAGTATAGTATAATATCGTATAGTATAGTATAGTATAATATAGTATAGTATAATATAGTATAATATAGTATAGTATAGTTTAATATAATATAGTATAGTATAATATAGTATAGTATAATATAGTAATATAGTATAGTATAGTATAGTATAATATAGTATAATATAGTATAGTATGATATAGTATAGTATAATATAGTATATAGTATAGTATAATATAGTATAGTATAATATAGTATAATATAGTATAATATAGTATAGTATAGTATAGTATAGTATAGTATAATATAGTATAATATAGTATAGTATAGTATAGTATAGTTTAATATAGTATAGTATAGTATAATATAGTATAGTATAATATAGTATAATATAGTATAGTATAGTATAGTATAGTATAATATAGTATAATATAGTATAGTATGATATAGTATAGTATAATATAGTATAGTATATCATCCTCAGCACTGTACAATGCAAAATAGTTTTATTTCTGTATGTGATTTTATAATTTTTGTATGTAATGTTTGCTTATGTGAGTTGCAGAAAGGGAACTATGAGATGAAACCTCATCTCATTATACAATCCTTTGTTGAAAAATGACAATTACATGTACCATGTACCTTGTAGTAGAGTTCCAGACATTACAGTATATCGCTCTAATTTGTTTTAAAGGATAATAACAGTTCCTTTAGGAAGTCTTTTGACTTGACCTTTTCAAAAAAACAATGAAGCTCTTTTCAAAAATCTTTAAATCTAATAATTGCACCTGTCTTCCTGTCCTAGGTGCAGTGTTTCTTTATTCTAGCTGAGGCAGAGTTTGGTTCTCATCATGGGGGAACTATTCAGGAGTGAGGAGATGACCCTGGCCCAGCTCTTTCTCCAGTCAGAGGCAGCCTACTGCTGTGTCAGCGAGCTGGGAGAACTGGGCATGGTCCAATTTAGAGATGTGAGTATGAAAATTCTCATGCTGTGCAGTTTCTGGGTGGTAGGACTCCTCTAAGGTCAGTGAAAAAGGTGAAAGGTCAGAGGGGACATGTGGGGTTACTTGTTTCCTGCCTTATACACAACATCACACATGTATTGGTGATAAATAATGAATTCATATTAGATGTTTTCAGTTTCAATTTCCTGGTTATTAGTCACTTAGCCAAATATCCATTATTAACAACATTTCTTTATACCTAAATGACAAATTAGGTTGTTTGACACTGCCTCCCTAAACAGCATATTACTGTTGGAAAATACCCGACCAGCGACAGGTGTACTTACGTGACGTCTACTTAACTTAAAACTCAAATAGCTAAGCACTGACTTGGTTTCACATAGGAATCAAACACGGAAGTTCTGAGTTTGACCCATCCAGTGTGCGTTCATCTCCTTACATGGACTTTCTTGCTATTTAATCTCTGCCACATGACTTCCTAGCTTCCTTCCCAGCCACAATAAACATGAACAGGTCAAAATCATTTTGTAAATAATTTTATTTGTACATCCACAGCTGAATCCAGATGTAAACGTGTTCCAGCGCAAGTTTGTGAATGAAGTAAGGCGGTGTGAGGAGATGGACAGGAAACTAAGTAAGTAATGAGACAAGTCAACACTCAGGCCCAATGGGACAGTGTAGTTCCTACCTATGAGTCAGTCCAGCTTCATTCGCTGGTACTTAATTGCTCCTGTCGGATTAAGACCACCTAAATGCAGGTATTGAATAATGGATTCTCTCTGCTGAACAGGGTTTGTGGAGAAGGAGATCAAGAAAGCTAACATCCCAACTGTGGACACTGGAGAAAATCCAGAGGTGCCTTTTCCCAGGGACATGATTGATCTAGAGGTAATCAGTCTGCAGTCTGTATCATTACTACTCATCATCAATTAATGTTATTTTAACACATGTCAGGCAAGGAGAGGATTTAAAATGCTTTTGACATTTGTCAAATGTCATGTGATGATAAATGCACCATTGTTAAATGTATTATATGGCATTGAATTTACCTACGCACACTAATAACTTGGTAGAAAGGTAGGGGAAAGTTGAGGGAAAAAGTATCGAAAGCTTGAAAGTTCTACCCATAGAGTCCAAATAAGGTTTTACATTTCAGTAGTTCAGTTGGATTTTATTTACTCCAGCCCTTTAAACTATAGTTAGATAGATTTGTGGTTGGTTTGTTTGAAAAGCCCCTCAAATTTCTTTTATTTGAGAATACCATTACTTTAACAATTTTTATTGCTCATTACTGCGTGTTGACATGAACATTGAAAATGCTGTAGCTGCTGTAAGATTAGACATTAGCCAAATGCCAAAACATTGTGAAAGGAGATGGAAATAAATCAGTGAGTGTTTGCTGACTGTGATGGTCAGGCCACCTTTGAGAAGCTGGAGAACGAACTGAAAGAGATCAACACCAACCAGGAAGCCCTGAAGAAGAACTTCCTGGAGCTGACGGAGCTCAAACACATCCTCCGTCGAACACAGCAGTTCTTTGATGAGGTGCGCCCACACACCCATTAGCAAAATAAATAATTGATGTGCTTCCATAAATAAAGCTACTGAGGTTTTCCTAATGTCTTTGACAGATGGAGGATCCCAACCTGCTGGAGGAGTCATCAGCCCTGATGGAGGGCAGTGAGGGGGGGCGTGGTGCCCCGCTCCGACTGGGGTAAAGCATAGGGCTCATGATATTATCAAATACACATTCTTCAGTAGTCTTGGAAAATATTGAAATAGTCATATGACCTGCGCGTGACACATTGCACACAAATACATATTTTGGTGGTCAGCAAGATCTCCTCATCTGAAGAGATTTGTTGTCAAAAGATTGTAATGAACTCATTACTACACATAAACACAATCCCAGGTTTCTGTTTAAGACTGTGGATCAGCTGGTAAACCCAACCCCTCCTTGTGCCTCAGCTGGAAGTAATGATGACTGTGAATTGTTTTTATCTTATTTTACCAATAAGGTGGTGTCAATCAGAGCCTCTATTACCCCCGTGGACTCTTACTCAGAGGTCCCTCACCAGCAACAACAGAGTTTTAACCAGTTTTATCCCATCGACTTGTCTGAGCTTTTAAAAACAGTATCACAAATGAGAGTGTCCTCCGGCCCACTTGATATAATACCTACAAAATTTTTACTGAAAGTAATAGATTCTGTTGGGCCCCATTTGATCTCTGTTTTCAACAGCTCCCTATCTACTGGTTGTGTCCCTGATTATTTTAAAACGGCTTGCGTGAACCCACTTTTAAAGAAACCTGGTTTAGATCCCTCCCTCCCACATAATTTTAGACCAATTTCAAAACTGCCTTTTATTGCAAAGATTCTAGAAAGAATTGTGTCCAAACAGCTGCTCACTGTGCTGGAAAATAACAAATTATTTGAAAAGTTTCAGTCTGGTTTTAGGAAGTACCACAGCACTGAGACTGCCCTGCTTAAAGTCACCAATGACCTTTTAATGTCTGCTGATGAAGGTATGTGCTCAGTCCTGGTACTCCTGGACCTTAGCGCTGCTTTTGACACCATTGATCACAACATCATGTTAGACAGACTGAGGCACTGGGTGGGGATCTCTGGTACTGCTCTAGAATGGTTTTCATCCTACCTGTCAAATAGGAAGTTTTGCGTGTCTGTAAACAACTATGTCTCTTCATTCTGTCCAGTTAAATATGGTGTGCCTCAGGGGTCGGTCTTAGGACCCATTTTGTTTTCCTTGTATCTGCTTCCCCTTGGACATATTATCCATAAACATGTCATTTCTTTTCATATTTATGCTGATGACACACAAATATACTTGCCCGTCAGATCCACAGACCCTGGAATGCTGAGTTCACTTAACAACTGCCTTTGTGAAGTTAAAAAATGGATGTCAAATAATTTCCTCCAGCTGAACTCAGACAAAACAGAAATCCTGGTCATCGGGTCTCAGCAGATGGCAAATCAAATACTGCCATCTGCTGGTTCCCTAGTAAATCACATTAAGCCTGTGGCAAAGAACCTTGGTGTTTGGTTTGATAGTAATTTAAATTTCGAGCAGCACACCACAAAGCTTGTTCAATCATGTTTTTATCAACTTAGAAATATAGCAAAAATTCGATCTATGTTAACTTTTAAGGACACCGAGACCATTTTACACGCCTTCATCTCATCACGCCTGGATTATTGCAACAGCCTTTTCACCTGTTTAACCCAAAAATCTATTGATCGACTCCAGACTGTCCAGAACTCAGCTGCCAGGCTTTTAACCAGAACAAAGAAATATGTCCACATTACTCCTATTTTAGCTTCATTACACTGGCTCCCAGTATGTTTTAGAATTGACTTGACATTCTATTGATCACTTTTAAAGCTCTTCATGGCCTCTCGCCTTGTTATATTTCTGACCTTTTAGTCCCATACGCACCAGCACGTACCTTGAGATCCTCGGGCAGAGGTCTGTTGTCTGTTCCAGAGTCTCGACTGAAAACTAAAGGGGACAGAGCGTTTTCTGTCAGGGCCCCGAGGCTCTGGAACAGCCTGCCCGAGGAAATCAGGTCGGCTGAGTCGGTGAACTCTTTTAAGTCCCTTCTTAAAACATACTTTTATAGGAGAGCTTTTCCTGATCTTATTTGACTTTATTTTATCCCTTTTATTTTATTGTATTTTACTAATTTTATATTAAATTTTCATGCTCTTATCTTTTTTGTATTATTCTTTACACTTGTTAAAGCACTTTGTAACTTGTTTTTGAAAAGTGCTCTACAAATAAGGATTATTATTATTATTACTAATTAGTTAGTGATTTAATTGAAAAATCTGCCATTTTCTCCAGATGTGTGGTCCTTTAGCAGTAATATAATCAGATAACTATTGAATCAGATGGGTCTCGATATTAATAATAATAATGTGCACAGAAGGATTCATAAATGTACAAATGCAAATGATTATATATAAATATATACATACATAAATTATACCAAATATTTATCGTAATAGTATTGTTATTTTCATTAAAAACATATTTGGATTTGGACACACACACACACACACACACACACACACACACATATATATGTACATACAGACTGCTGAAGCTGCAATTAACTGCTTGTCATGTGGGAACTGTGAATCTAGCCGTGGCATGGAAGTGTCCAAACACCCACACACAAATGCAGTGAAGTTAACACATTTCATGCTGCATTCCCACCTGTACATTAGTGAAATAACGTGAAACCATTGGCAAGAATGATTCTAGCATCACCTGCGCACATCCTCATGCAAGTTATAGACGAAACAGGGACCACTTCGTATAGACCATAGACCATTAAACTTTGTGAGAGAAAGTTCATATTTAAAGACATAGAATTGTGCTCCATGATGTGTTTATTGTGTCTTGGAACATTGTCATCTTCATATCCATTATCCCCCAAAGGATCTCAGTATCTGCTGGAAATTGTTGCACGTTGTTGGAATTAAACACGTCATTCAAGCAGAGAAAACTTAATAGAAATCATTTTCTTAGCTGAAAGAGGAAGAAAGGAGGAGCTGGTATTATGAAACATCTTGTCATCCAAAGTGACATATAAAATATGTCAGAGGTCACATACCTCTGGAGCAACTCTCACACCAAAGGCCAAAGGCGTCTTATCCACTGCCCCATCACCACCCCGCCCCCTCATCAGTTCTTTTTACCATTCAAAAGGCAGACTATGTGCACACTGTGGTCTGTTTGGTTTGTGTTGTCTACTCTGAGCACTTGTTTGTTTCGTGTATGCAGGTTTGTGGCTGGAGTGATCAGCAGGGAGAGGATTCCAACGTTTGAGAGGATGCTTTGGAGGGTGTGTCGCGGGAATGTCTTCTTAAGGAAGGCAGAGATTGAGGACCCTCTGGAGGACCCCACCACGGTCAATGCTCAGTCATAGAGAATAGAAACATATTAAGAAGAAAATGTACAAAGAATCAAACAAAATTCAGCCATACCCAGTTACAACATAATAAATGAGATTTTACATAGTAGAAACAGACGTACGACTCATCAGTGAGTTATGTAAGTAAGTGTAGGTTTTCTAACAACTTCTTCTCTTTCCAACAGGGAGACCAAGTCCACAAATCAGTGTTTATTATCTTCTTCCAAGGTGACCAGCTCAAGAACAGGGTGAAGAAGATCTGTGAGGGGTGGGTGTTATTGAAGAAAAATGCCTAAAATCTAGCTGAATATTGCATACAACTTAAATACAACATGTCATTGTATGTTAGCCTGTCTTGTCCCTTGTGTTTTGCTGCATACAGATGCCACAATTTATGGACAGGAGCCAAATCCTGAAGGTTGAGTTTAGGCATGTGCAGTTATGTTAAGTATGATATAACAGTGAATATGGCTATGTTTACAGGATGGTTAATAAATGGAAGAATGTGGCAGGACTGACTCTGGCCATAATCGCAGATGGATCCATAAGAAGAATGTTTATCCAGAATAGTAAACAAGGGGATTTAGCGCCATAAAGGTCTACAACAGAAAATAGTGGAGAAGTCTGGACTACCATTTACAATTGCTCAACATTTTGTCCGATGGCATGTAGTTAACTATGCTAACTATTCAGAGTGGAAAACATATTCTATCTTTTTAGAGAAAGGTTTGGACTTTTTGGAATAGAAATATGTGAAGTGGTTCTGAAAATGAAGCCAACGTGGAAGTGCCAAAAACTGCAGTTCCTTGAATGACCACTTGAGTCTGGCTCCAAAAGCGAGTCAGCCACCATAAAGTGTGATTTATACTTCTGCATCGAATCGAACCCTATGCCATCACCTACGCCGTAGCCTGACGTGCACCTCCTCAGAAATGTAACTACACGTCGGGACAATGCGGACCGTAAGAACTGTGATTGGTCGGCTGGGTAGCCTCGCAATGCTTCCGAGCCGACAGGAAGTGCCCCGTGCTTTGAAGTAAATTTTACTAGCGGCCAAACCAGCAGCTGAAATTACTCGTTTCACTATCAGACTGTGATCCATTTGGTCGATAACAGCTGCATGTATATAATTTGACCACCATTCAAGTTAGCAGAGGGCTAAACCAGAAGTTAGCCTGCTTCGCCGGCAACACTGCTCTTGTCTGCACAGTTGACGGTGTAGCGTTACCGCCAACTAGCGTTTGGTGTTTTTGGTGTAATTGCAGAACGATGTAGACACTGAAGTATAAATGCATGGCTACGTGCGTAGCTGACGCTGTAGTCTACGGCGTAGACTCGATGCCGAAGTATAAATTATGCTTAAACCCCAATGTTAAAATGCCCAATTTACAGCAGAAATAAATGTTTACAGCCCGGTACAAAAAACGATTTTATTCCCCTCTTCATGAAAGCTGTCAGCTGTCAAGGAGGGGGCCTAAAGGGAGGAGGGGGGGATTTTTTCAGTTGGATACTTTCAGAATCTAGCTATCTCTTGCTAGTTCTTCAACGTTGCCTACCCTAGCTTTAACATTATGCATAAAAAAGGGTGAACAGATCATGTGCATTATAAAATATGAGTAAGACAGAAGGAAACCAGGAGAAAGTACAGTATGTGTTAGATGCTGTGAGTTGACTCTCCTGGTGGGTGTAATTTTTCAGGTTCCGTGCCTCACTCTACCCGTGTCCAGAGACCCCACAGGAGAGGAAGGAAATGCTGGCTGGAGTCAACAGCCGCATCGATGACCTCCAGATGGTACGTTTGTCAATATGATGGATCTTTACATCTCATTACTATTATTACACACACATTAAATAAACCAGAAAAATGTTAATAAATTCAAAATAGAGTAAAGTAATAGTCAGTTTCCATGGAGGTGGCTGGCCTTAGAGTAAAGCCTGCTTATTGTTTAAGCCACATTAACTTCAGCGGTGCAGTTTATTTTTTAATTCAGTAATTCTTTCAAAGGGCCTTTGTACTCTTTGTTACACTGCTGCTCACTAAACAACAAGACATTAATCAGAAACTTAGCACAACAGGATGTATGTGTAACATGTATTTTGAATCAAATTACAAAAGCCCTCACAGTGTTGCTGGGTGTTTTCTCGTGCATTAGTTCTTATCTGTGAAAGACCTTTGTCCTGTTTCATAGTGCTGTGGTTTCCCAAAGTTTGCCTTATTAAGCCTGGAAAAAAGCCTGGTTCTGCTTGAGAGGCCTGCTCTACTCTGAGCCTGCCATCTAGATACAATGCATTGCACTCTAGTACAATAGAGCATTTTACCCAGAATCTTAACTCAGACTGCAGGAACATGACCTAGGCCTGGGAGCCAGTAAGATCAGTCCACTTTTGCCATTCACCAACATGTTTACACCGCAAATACTGCACATTCTAGGTGTTTCATTCACATTGTGGTAATTTCATATATCCATGACAGTGAGCTACGACTGTAGTCTTATAGGCTTTTGGATACACTTGTTTACCACTGATGTCATTATAACACTTCAGGTCAGCCAACAGACACTGTAAAGGTCCTGCGCCATCTAAACATCCAGTGGTTCACACCATGTAAGTTACCAACTTAGTTATATCCATGGTTTGAACTAGGTGTTTGGGAAACAGTTGCGTCGCAACTGCATAGTTCCAACCAAGGAAGTTGCTACCGTAGTTAGCAACCATGCTTTTGGAAAACGCACCCCAGTTTGATTGAACAAGGATCTACAGTAGAATGTAAAAGAAATTGCTCCACACTGCTATTGTAGGTTCTAAACCAAACAGAGGACCACCGTCAGCGAGTGCTACAGGCCGCCTCCAAGACCATGCGGGTGTGGTTCATTAAGGTGAGGAAGATGAAGGCCATCTACCACACGCTCAACCTCTGCAACATCGATGTCACCCAGAAGTGTCTAATTGCTGAGGTGTGGTGTCCTGTCTCAGACCTGGACTCCATCCAGTTTGCTCTGCGCAGAGGGACGGTGAGTTGTTTTTAGTTTGGTTGTTTTATTTACGCTGATCACATAATCAATTTCATACTGAAGTAAAGTTTAACTGAAATTTGAATTATCCCCACTATATGTGTAAAGAAAAATAAACTATAATGATACTACAGCTGTTGTGCATATTGTTTCCACATTTCAAAAGAGGATAAAACTGTATTTGCACATAATTGTGGAAACTGTTTTACAGCCATACATACAGTCACAACTGAAGTGAGCACACTATTTTGAGTTCACAGCCATTGATGTTGAGTGGAGGCCTCTGTGTAAGTCATCTGGTCTTGGCAGTACAACATGGGCAGTATGTGGCTGATAAGTGGCGGCTTTATTTGACAGGAGAGAAGCGGCTCGACAGTGCCGTCCATCCTCAACAGGATGCAGACCAAGCAAACTCCACCTACCTTCAATAAGACCAACAAGTTCACATCAGGCTTCCAGAACATCGTTGACGCATACGGCATTGGAAATTACCGGGAAATTAATCCAGGTCATACAGGAAGTCATTTGTCTATATTTGGATTCATTGCTCATCATATTAATTCATATTTGAACTAAAACGTGTAATAGTGCAGCAGCAATAAGTCTTTTTAAGGACTTTGCTTTTTGAAATCTCCAATGCTCTCCTGCATGATATTGGATGCACTGTCATCAGCAGTTTGGTTCAGTGTTTGTCAAGACACATTAAAACAGTGTTGTGGCTCTCTCTTTTATACCACTCATCATGCAAAACTAATTGTGTGTCACAAGAGTGGGTTATTATAGAAGTATCCTAACTTGTCAAAGGTGGTCAGAGCCTTTAATTGACGTCACCTGCAGAGGTTATTAGAAACAGGATTAGAGACTTTATTTCTAATTCCCTCTGCTAGAGTAGTACTGTATTTATTCACTAATTATGTCAAGTGGTTCCATTTAGCCGTTCTTGAATTGCTGTTAAGATACTATCAGTAATTCAACTTCTTAGATGCCTTTCAGCCTCTCAAAGTGCGTAATCCCTCTATTTCCTGGTAAGACTTTAATGTGAAAAGTCTGCAGAAGTATCAATAACAGTTGCTTAACTGCTATAAAAAAGGGCAAACTGGAATAGACTGGAAATAATTAGTGAATAAAAACTGTTTTTGAACGTGAGAGCAGCAGAGAGGTGAGTATAATATGTCTGTTGCTGTTCTGATGGAAGTGTGCTGTGGAAATATACATTATACAGAGAATACTGTAATAGCTTCATTTATCATGTTAGCTGTTGCAGTTTAGGAACCACCTTCACCCTTCCTCTCGCCTCTCCTCACATAAATTATGTAATTTATAATAAATTATTTTATATAAATATATTGCAATTTCAATATTCTACAAGTTCTCAGTAGTTTTCCTTTAATTCTGCATTGATTAAATATTATTATTGCTATATGTTATACATGTGCACTCCATATGTTTAGGTTCACTGTACTTTCACTACCTTACACTGGCCGTAAAAGCTGGTAAATTCAACCTCAACCTTCAGCCTATGAACAAAGTTATTCTTTATCTGACATTTGCAGCTTCTTGCAGCTTGGAATTTTTAATACTGATTGAGATTAGACAGATTTTTGTGGGATTTTGATAGTTCGAGCCTCATTCCTTCCCTTCCTACCTGTTACAGCTCCGTACACCATCATTACTTTCCCCTTCCTGTTTGCGGTGATGTTTGGTGACATGGGTCACGGTGTGCTGATGACCTGTGCTGCCCTCTATCTGGTCATCCGAGAGACTCGCCTCCTCGCCCAGAAGAGCGACAATGAGGTACAGTAAGACATAAACCATGAATAAAGTAATAAAAAGCTTTAGAGTTCAACATCACAGTACAACTATTATAAACATACAACATATGGTGTTTATTTAAGTTGCTGTGTGTCTCTGTAGATGTTCAACATGGTGTTTGCTGGTCGCTACATCATCCTGCTGATGGGGATCTTCTCCATCTACACTGGCATCATTTACAATGACTGCTTCTCCAAGTCACTCAACATGTTCGGCTCTGGATGGAGCGTCAGGCCAATGTTTGGCCCCAAAGGAGCCAACTGGACGTAAGTCAGCCACCAGATCTGCGTGGACATGCCTGATTTTTTTTCAATTGCATTTTCAATCCATCCATCGTCAACTGCTTGTCCTGCGTACAGGGTCGCGGGGGGCTGGAGCCAATCCCAGCTGACATCGGGCAAAAGGCGTGGTGCCAGCCCATCGCAGGGCCAAACATAGACAAACAACCGCTCACACTCGCACCTAGGGTCACCAATTAACCTAGTCTGCATGTCTTTGGACAGTGGGAGGAAGCCAGAGTACCCAGAGAGAACCCACGCAACATGCAAACTCCACACAGAAAGTCCAGGGCAACCAGGGTTTGAACCCACGACCTTCTTGCTGTGAAGCGACAGTGCTAACCACTGCATTTTCAGTCTAGTTTTTCAAATCTGTAGATTCATTTAAGCACCATGCTTAAATTTCTGTATTTTCGAACATATTTTCCATGAAAATTGTTTTAAAAAAGAAAATAGGCATATTTGCTTTTTCTGAGAGTGAGATGAAAAGATTGATCTCCCCCCGTGTCTCTCTGATTTAAACTCTACTTCTATCTTATGCCGATGTTCAGCCGTCATATTATTTTTCTCACATTTCATATCACTGATATTAGTGGATGGATGGATAAACTGTTTTGAAAGTGTATATTGAACACTGTCTATTTTCCAGCTTTCAGGAAAAATCCTAGGGATATGTGATTTTATTTATCTTACTGGTATAGCATGTGTGATTTATGTACTAAAATGTATTGGTGTTCCCTCTAAAACCCGCAGCTTGTAAATAATCTGCCTAATTTCAATAATACATTCATTTCCTGCTGGTCTGTCCTAGGTTTGATACACTTGATGGAAATGCAGTTCTACAGTTAGACCCAGCAGTTCCTGGTGTGTTCAACGGGCCTTACCCACTTGGAATTGACCCGGTAAAACCTGTACACTCACTAAAACAAGATAAATAAAATAAATAAATAGCTGGCACTTTTCTCTGGTTAGAACCACCGTGCAATATTTACCTTGGGCTTGTTAACTTCAGGGACAAGGCTGGCAATGTTCTGTATCCTTCATCAACATGAACAGACACACTGTAGTTTATTCTGTCTCAGTCCCGCATACACCGTCGTGCTGCCCCAGATACTCACTAGAGCGCCACGTTTGGATTCATCCGCTGCTGAAAAGAGTCCCCAACAAATGCACTATTTCCTCCTGTTAGTTTGATAAACTAAAAGTACACTTATTAGCTGTTTTCTAAGAAATGACTCAGCCTTTTTAAACATGAAACTATATGTTTGTGAGCATATTTACAGTATGTCTTCAGTAGGAAACAATGGGCTGGAGGAAATAATGTAGAGTTAAAATATATTTGGTTTATGTTCACCAAAATGCACCACAACAAAGGAAAGATAAGGAACCATCACACCCAGGTTGGTCTCACGCATATGTTTCTCTCATCTCTGCAGATCTGGAATGTTGCCACCAACAAGTTGACCTTCCTCAACTCATTTAAGATGAAGATGTCTGTGATCCTGGGTGTCATCCACATGCTGTTTGGAGTGTCTCTCAGTCTCTTCAACCACCTGTAAGTGCTACACTCAACACCAATGCTGGAAGTTAACAGCTAAACCTGTGGGCGTATTTCTTAAATTTCACTCCGTTTATTTACAGGATTATAGCATCATCACTAGATCTCTTAACTAGGCATGTCATATATTTTTAAACACGGTAAGCCAGTCTCAGTATCTCTCAGTATCCTTTAAATGAACTATGTCATACATCCAACAATGCCTGAAGACAAAAGTGGTTATACTGGATTTGAATGGCCACTCTTAAAGCTGGCATAGAGAGAGGCGAGATGTGATTAATCATACAGATCTGGTTAACACACTTCTGGACAGATGTCCGGGGTGTTGTGCTCAGGTTGCACAGAAAGTAGTTGTGTGAATGAAGAATGGAAAGGAAAAATAGCAAAAAGGAGAGCGTAAGAGAGAAGTTAAAACTTTGGGTAGTCAGATATTCTTGTTTTGTAAAGTTGGAAAACATTAGCATTGGAGGACAATCTGACACGTACTTGGTGTGAAGCATACTGCGGCCCTAAAACTAGTCAGAACTGCCAAAAATTGGTACATGTACAACTGTACATGTTCTATGACAGGTTTAAAATCGTTTGAGGTTTTTGCCTGTATGTCCACAGGCTTTCAACACAATACATCTCTTTAGGCAAAAATTACTTTCTTAGATTTTCTCCAAGTTTTTATTTTAATTTAATATAGATTTTGATATCAGGCTCCCTTGTCATGTGTGATGTAATCAAAAAGTTAACAAATTTTGCTTCAGAGTCAGTGAGTCTGTTTAGTTTCCACATGAGCTCTGTTTTAAAGTAACGTGCTTTCATTTTGGTCTGCCTGCAGCATGAAAAGTCATCCTCTATGTCCTTATTGCTCTCTGACTGCACATCACCTGGAGTACCGTTGACACTCGCTACAAATTGAAGCAGGATTCCAGCAGGATATGTTTTGAGTTAGGACTCAGGTTTATTAGGGTTGTTATATCCATCTGAATGGATACAAGAACACTCATGGAGCATAATGAAACAATTACCCCGATTGTAAAGTCTGTCCATGTTCTGTTATTGAAACATACTGATCCAGTTTGTCAGGTATCAGCTCTTCTGGTAGACATTGCCACTGCTCTCCAACACCTTCACATTCATGATTTACTGGTTGGGTTCAGAACAGGAACATCAGCAAAGCGAAACATTACTACTTACACATTCCACACTTGATTCTCCATCACTGACATTGCAGGTAACCTGCCTCGTCTGTGTTGCTAACTGATATCCCTGCACTGCAGGTACTTCAAGAAGCCGCTGAACATCTTCCTGGGCTTCATCCCAGAGATTGTTTTTATGGCGAGCCTGTTTGGCTACCTCATTCTGCTGGTCTTCTACAAGTGGACAGCCTATGACGCCTTCACCTCCAAGGACGCGCCCAGCCTGCTCATCCACTTCATCAACATGTGTCTCTTCAATTACAACGACCCCACCAACAAGCCCCTCTACAGGGGACAGGTGCTCCCTCCCTCATCCACCCCTCTGCCTCTCCCAGCACTAGTATAGTTGAACCCTGGTAGAGAGGTACACAGCAAATCATAGCAAATACACCCACAATAGTAATTAAATACTTGCATAAATCTTCTGGTCAGAGGTCAGTTTCAGCTACAGAACAGATACACTGGAGCTGGCAGGAAGTTTGTGTCTTACTTCAGGATAGGAGACTTCTGTAGGGCTTCTTCTTGCTTAAGTGACCCTTGAACTGAGGTCATCCAGTTAAAGGACATTCTTTCAAACTACTGTAGTAACCTTTACCAGACCTACAGTGCAGTCACACTGGGGAACACTTTTGCACAGCTAGGTATGTGGTATGTACCAGTCTACGTTTTCTTACTAGCTTACTAGGTTGACAGTAGGGCTGGGCGATAAGGCAAACATTTTATCACAGTAATTTTATTCCCCATGCAGTAGAGGAGGCGGCTGCAAATGGAGCCATAATTAGCCTAGCCCCATTTCATCTCTTACATGGGAGACTGTTCCAGATGCTTCACATTGACGTACACAAGAAGTGGGAAAGTTAACCTTATGTACATTTTACATAAATCTTTAATGAAAAGCTCAGGCTTTTCTTTGCTTCTGCACAAACTAGCTTTGTTCCAGTAATGTGATTGGCTGTGGGTACCTCACCAAGCAATGGACCCTATCAACAGTAAATCACTTCCTCAACATCATATACAGGGTTTTTATCCTCTCACAACCAGTGTTTATATAGTGTTTCTATAGCCCAGCTCTGGTCAAGAGTATTTTTTCTCATTTGAAGCAATCATGAAAACAAGAAATAACTGTAACAAGTGACTTTGTTGCAGAGAAGCAAAGTACTAGCAGTAAAGATGGAGGACTGAGTTAGGCCTCATCAGGATCTGATCAGGGGATTTGCACCTTCTGATCACTGCTACACATCACCAACAGCTCTTTAACCTCTCTGTGTTTGAATCTGTAGATGGGGATCCAGATTTTGTTGGTGCTGATTGCGCTTGCATGTGTACCCTGTATGCTGATTGTGAAAACTATGGTGCTTCGGCGTCAGCACCTGTGGAAAAAGCACCTGGTATGTGAATCTGATCCCACCTATAACCTTACTGCTAACTTTGATGAATAACAATTATAACCTTTGGTATAACCTTTTTTTCACTCCTACTCTGCCATTCATTTCAATGCACATTGTACTGTGTAATGTGGTTGTTGTGCCATGACAAATGCTTAAAGCCTGCCTTGGAAACGCTCATATTTTGGTTGGAAATGTCAGAAATTCTTCAGAGAGAGGACACCCTAACAGTTGATGATCATCCTTATTCTACCTGTATATTTGGATGGATTGATTGGATTTGACTGGAGCTCTTGTTACTCTCACCGGTTGTCTTAAATCTCAAACAAATGCAGTCCCATCACACTGAGGCTCAGTACCAATTAAAAGGAATGGCGTGAATTGACCATAGGTCACTGGTCACTGTTGTGGTATTCATAACTTTGTACGTGCTGTGCCAGTCAGTGTACATTGTGGCGGTGATTTTGAAATAGTTTTGTCACATTTTTTTTAAGTTGGTTATAGTTTTAGCTAAATTATCAAAGGCTCACCTATAAAAGCATGTCTGTAGCGTGCTGCCTATTAGTGCAACAGATTAAGCAAACCATACTGAAGAGATTTTGGTTGGAGCAGGCTAATGTTCTTCCAATCAGGAACATACAATGTGTGATTCTGATGCATTTAGGTCGTTGAGTACAATTTTGTGTTAGAACAGTAATAGGTTAATTTGTACATTCTTCCATCTTTAACATTGTACTTGTTACACATTGACAAAAATTGTAATGCATTTCGTCACAGTTTGTTTTGACAGGTTACTTTACATTTCATCTGTGATATTCTCATTGACATTTAAAATTGTTGTGTCATTTTTCTTATGTGAGGCTGAATATTATGAGCATATAGTTTGGTAGGCCTATTAAAATTAAGTTTAATATGAATGTGTTTATTTTAGGTTAGTAGTTATCTCGTTTTACAGAGGCTGCTCATGTAGCGTGCCACCTTTTGCGATGTGGGCGCAGGTAGTAATGTGTTGTGAGTTTTCAGTAGCTTAAATGTTGAGATTCAGTCTCTCAACCACTATTTGAGCACATTTTAAGGTATGAAGTGATTTTTTGTTTCATTGCTTTATGAAGTTAATTTAGAACAGTGTTTGGAACATTTTTGAGTGCATTAAATAAGTGAATCTCATTATTGAAGGGATGAGAAGTTCTGAGGTAGGAGTTGGAACGACAACTCATTCAGTGCCCGAGTCTTTTCATGTGGAAATGCCGACACATCGCCAAGATGAAAGAATAAGGCTGATATTTTCATAAACGCCATAAGAACACATTAAATCGTCATATTCATATCATAGGTCATTTAGGCATTTACACTGTTGGCAGTTTTCAGTCTTCCTTCATGTGTCAGCTGCAGCTATGATACTATGTCTATTTGTCTAGTATTACAGATTGCTCTTGGTTTGTAAAATAGGCTGCTCTGAGGCCAGACTTGTCCATGTCTACTGCTAACTTCGCCTCTTTTATGTGAACGCGCTTGTGTCTGGATTGGGAAACCCTGCGTTGACTTACTGAGTTGATAACCAGTTTCGTGTGACCTCTTATCCCGATTGTTAGGGTTAGTGAAGACAGATAACGAAAAGATAACCTGGGTATGTTGAACTCGCTTCGTGGTACAGGCTCCTGGGCTGCTCTATGAACTGGCGGATGAGAAAATGAGATGCAGGTGAGGAAGTGGCGGGAAGGCCTGGCAAACACTGAGCAGATGAGAAAAGTGGAACAGGTGTGTCGATGGATGAGGCAGTCAGGTGATGAGGAAAGGAGGGAAGGTCCAAGAGCTGGGGTGGATGAATGGAAAATGGCAATAAAGGGGAACTGTGGCTGGAGAGGAAGGACAGAGAGAGAGTCTGTGACATTGGCACTTGATATCAGTTCCATTTGAAGCATTAATACTGTATCAATGAAGTATTTACATCAAGTTATTACAAATGAACTGGCTTTCATTCCATATTCAATTTAAACTTGCCTGCCGACGACTGCAAAAAGGCCATTTTAGTACTTGACTGGTGCAGGATGTTTCTGGTAGCTTGATGACCCAACAGGATGGCGATGGCATAATGGTTAAGACACATGCCTTTGGTGTGAGAGACCCGGCTTCAATCCCCCACTGTGACCCATCTACCATTCAGTCCCTGAGCAAGATACTTGACTCCTAGTTGCTCAAGAGGCATGAGACCTCTGACATATATAGCGACTGTAAGTTGCTTTGGATAAAAGTGTCAGCTAAATGAATAAATGTTGATTATAATAATTTAGATCAGAGTTTCTTCTTTGCCATTTAGAATCAGATTTAGAATCAGAAGGAGCTTTATTGCCACGTAGTGTTTTACACATAGGAGGAATTTGCTGTGGTGATAAGGTGCTACACGTAGACAAACATACAGTCAACATAAATAAATGTAGAAATATAAATATGTAATGGAAGAACAACGTTGCAGATATATACATGTGCATTATTCTGGGTCTGTGCCGTGCAGAAGTAACGCAATGGAAGAGAATATTGTGTACATATAAATATATAAACTTACAACATAAAAATACACAACAACAAAGATCAACAATCAACAACAAATATGAGCGACGTTCCAGGTCTGTGCCCGACACGAGATGAAACAGTATTTACATGTGCAGAGACATTTGTATCATTTGCAAGTGGAGAGTGTCAGTGGGGGACCCGGGCCTTGTTAATGAGGCTAGTTGCAGACGGGAAGAAACTGTTTTTGTGGCGAGAGGTTTTGGTCCTGATGGACCGCAGCCTCCTGCTAGAGGGGGGAGTCTGAAACAGTTTGTGTCCGGGGTGGGAGGGGTCAGCTGCAATCTTTCCTGCTCACCTCAGAGTCCATACGGCGTACAGGTCCAGAAGAGAAGGAAGATTGCAGCCAATCACCTTCTCTGCAGAGCGAATGATGCGCTGCAGCCTGCCCTTGTCCCTGGCAGTGGCAGCAGCGTACCAGATGGTGATGGAGGAGGTGAGGATGGACTCAATGATGGCGGTGTAGAAGTGCACCATCATTGTCTTTGGCAGGCTGAACTTCTTCAGCTGCCGCAGGAAGTACATCCTCTGCTAGGCCTTCTTGGTGAGGGAGGTGATGTTCAGCTCCCACTTGAGGTCCTGGGAGATGATGGTGCCCAGGAAGCTGAAGGAGTCCACAGTGGTGACGGGGGAGTCACACAGGATTTGGGGTTCAGGGTTTAGGGTTTTTACATTACATTAACAAGTTGTACTTTGCAAAATGGACTTTCCACCTCTGTTTGTTGATGTTTATCGCAACCGGTGAGATTATCTTGCGCTCCAAAAAATTATTGGTTACCCAAATCTAATACTGAAGCAGAGATTTCAGTTCTTTCCACCTTTTTTAAAGTTTAAGTGGTGGATGCATTTCATTTTGGAATGGAAGCTTTCACTTTCTGTGCTGGGTGCCCTCTTTTAATTAAAAAAAATTTAGTTAATAAGGAAGAAAGCGTTCAACCTAAGGCTTGCTTTAAGCTAGACACAGCTCTTGTGGCTTTTGTATCTAGTCCCAGAAGAGGGAAGAAACCCCTGCAGAGAATCTAGAGCAGTCTTTAGAGCAAACAGGTGTGTCCTCATCATGCACCGGACTCACCCAACAGGGCACGCAGAAGTTCGGAGGGGTGCGGGTGGGCAACGGGCCCACGGAGGACGAAGCTGGCATCATGGACCACGACCAGCTCTCCCAGCACTCAGAGGAAGGAGATGAGGTGAGCTCATGAATTATCACCACTGATGATTCAAATTCCATCCTCTTCCAGACTTTCAGACCTAGGATATAATATTTGAATAGTTTTTAGTAAGATTATGATGCTACATATGCTTTCACTATTGTATATGGACTGATGTCACACTTCTGCAAGCGGAGATACCAGGAACATGAGTAATAGGATCCAAATGCACACGCAGAGGTAGAGTTAAAGCAGTTCAAAGGTTTATTGGAAAAGTAAATTTACAAAAAGGGTTACAGGATAGTCAGGCAGGCACAGGTCAAATCCAGACAAAAGCATTCAAAGAGGCAAACAAATCTGACAGGGAACAGGCAAAATCCAAAATGCAGGTAAAGTAAAGGAGAACCGAAAACACTGGGAAAACAAACACTAGGAAAAGCCTGTAATGCTTGATCAATGGGACAAAGATGAAGAGACAAGGGAACACACACATTAAATCCCCTTTATAATTTGATGGATTACTAAACTCATTTTCAGCTTTATACTTGTAATTAGGGCTTCTACTAGAACATGTTTACATGCTTTAATGTTCATTAAACTCATAATTTTTAAGTTCTTCCTAATGTCAGCTCCCTTTAACCAAGTAGTTTTGGTTCCTAAACCTAACCAAACTACAACTGTTTCACAAAGATAACTGTGTGTTTATTATTCTTCTCATGACGCAAAGGTCCGGTACTTCTGTCGCTGGCACTCTTACACTGTACCATTTTGGGAGTCATTGGCAACCTACCTATTTTGTCGTTTAGGTATGAAAATGTGTTGAAAAGCATACAGGAAATATGTGTAGAGCTGCAACTAAAGATGATAGTCATTATTTATTATTGTTTTTATTGGCTGAGTAGTCTGTAAAATGTTAGATTGTAGACATTATTCATAACAAATTACTTTCGTTTGACCAACAGTCCAAAACAATTATATAAAACTGAAAAAAGCAGCAAATCCTCACATTTGAGAATATTCCATGAGTATTTAATGATTTGTACCCTTAATTAAGCATCAAAATTGCTATTGACTAATCATTTCAGCCTTTGATTTGAGGCACAGCTTTTCTGGTTGTGTGGACATGCCATTAAAAAACCTACCAAATTGTGTTTATTGTTACACTACAGTCACTTATCAACTATGTAGTTTGCTTTATAATCAGTGATATCAGCTCAATAAGGACAGTAAGGACGGTGGTTTAGTTCAGCTCCGTATAGTTACGGAAGTTAAAGCTTCAGACTGTCAAAAGCTTATAACTAATAATTTGAAATCCTGTGTCGCAGTCCATTCACCAGCACCACACCTCAGTCCCTGTGTTGCTTTCTTATCAGAGAGCAGTATTTTCTCCTGAGGCGTAATGAGATATGGGGGTAATGTGGGCTCAACAGTGTGCAGAGTGAAAGACCGGGCAGGGATGGCCTGGAACAGATAAGGGATGGATTTTCCATTTCAGAAACATAAACAGCAAGGTGGTTTTCATGAGAACCAGCGAGTGGAATTTCTGAAAATACCACCCAGTTATATCTGTGACTCAGAGGTTTGGTGTCTCCCAGGTCTCCTGCATAATAAATCTCTGAGTGTTTATGTTGGGATAACATATTGCACAACTGTGAGAATGTGATAAGATTGCATTGTGTCATCATTATTCCAAGATTATGATTTTCCACATAAGAATGACTTATCAACAGGGTTATGGAATTTAATATTGAATAATGTCGGAGCAGCAAGTGACTATAAAAGTATCTGGCTGGACAACTTACTAAATACTACAGAAATTGTAGTACATTGCAGCAGTACAGTGTACGTTGATCGATACAGGCATATGGAAGGACATCTCTCTTTTTTCCTTTGTCATTGTAAGAGATGAGCAAGCAGCCCTTGTTCTGTGCAAAAACCTTTTCTAATATTCAGTTAAAGCTAACATAAGACTTTGGCAGTCGTGTGTAGGTGTATACCCATGCTGTGTCTCTGCAACAAACCTACATTTGATTTCCAGGACATACAGTATCTCACAAAAGTGAGTACACCCCTCACATTTTTGTGAATGTTTGATTATCTTTTCATGTGACAACACTGAAGAAATGACACTTTGCTACAGTGTAAAGTAGTGAGTGTATAGCTTGTATAACAGTGTAAATTTGCTGTCCCCTCAAAATAACACATCACACAGCCTACTCACTTTTGTGAGATACTATACTGTACATTTAAAACATCGAACCCATCCTTTAAGATCCAACCTGACTGAACTTAAGTTGTGCAAAATTTGAGATACAAGCCTGACCCAAAGTAACATTTCGATTTGTTCCATCTATTATTGACTGTCAACTTGCAAGGCTAATGCAATTCATTGGCCCATTGAATAGTAGAATTTCTTATTAAATTATGTTTGAAAATAACCAAAAAGTAGAACAAACCCAGCCTAAAGCTTTTTCCAACAAAATGGCCCAAACTTAACAGGTCCTGACAGAGGTATCGTGTTTCAGGTTAGGTTTGGTTCACATCCCAGAACTCTAAAGTCTAGTGAAATAAACTGCAAAACAATGATCCAAAAGAAGGATGGAACCTTTTGGGTCGATGCAGTTTGTAAATTCTGCCACTAACCTTTGACCTTTGCTTACTTTCAAGCACTCTGAGGAAGAGCCGGTAAGAACCTGAGTTTGGTATTTTCTTAGCATGTCTGGATGCTGTCTTGTCTGATCTGTTTGTGCCTTTAGTAACAAGTGTTGGTCTTTCTTTATTTGAATTCTGGTTGGTCTGTCTCCTAAGTCTCCTATACACCTATACTGTCCACCTCCTAGTACCAGGCATGTTAATGTGTGTGACTGTAAAAGTGTGTGTTTGCACAAACTGTGACAAGCTGCAGATCATTTAGTCCGACACTTATTCTTACAGTCTTGATTTTCCAACACATTTTACAAGAAGAAAAACTGCTGGGATGTAAGAGTTGAATTTGTTTGCACTTTTTCATTGGTAAGATTTTTCTTGAGGCAAGTGTCATATTTGGTCACTACATTACTAATCAGAGCCACTGGCCTCCGTGTATAGTGCCATTACGGCATGTTAGCCTGTGTTGTTTTCATTAGCCACTTGTGTTGGAGACCCTTAGAATGGGAACAATGAGTGCTGCTTCCATGAACTCTATTTCATGGGTCCAAGGACAAAAGAGAAGCATGGAAAGAGGAAACCAGACCAGCACACAGCCAAACCCAACAAGAGCAACATAGAGCGATAGACTCCCATGCCCCCCACCCCCACCCCCCACTTCATACAGGAAAGGCTAGTCTTGCTCCAGGAAGGAGAGAACAGAGGAACTCGGTTGGCTTTACAATATACAAACAAATCCCTGCGCTGTGATCCTGCTGGGGAAAAAAGGCTCAACAATCTCAAACAAGTCAGATGCTGTTGCTCTTTGTTTTCTGCCTGATCAGAGCTAAAAGCTCAGGCATTAAGATGATAACAGAATTTCCATTCCAGGTCATTTCCACCGTTCATGATATGCTGTGATGACGTGTGTGTAAGTAATGACATACTGGAAATTCTATTGTTTTAGCTTGTTTCTTCCAGTGGTGTTCACTATTGCTAGAATGTGTTTTAAACAAACTATTGTCAGTTTGTTTAAAACACACACTATTTATTTTATACTTTAATTTTAAACAATCAAACCATCTTAAAACATTGATCCGGGAAGAAAAAACACATTCACAGTAGTAGTCTATGTTAAAGATCAGCTAAACAGATATGATCATTCTTGTAGTGATTGGAGCAAAGCTGCAGACAAAAGAATCAGTATCGTTGGAGATGCAGTCATGTTGAAGTCAATTTATTTGTCACTACTCAGTCTGTGAAAGCAGTTGCATTATGCCAAACAGATTTCTAACATGCTGCTTATTGGGATTGTGGAGTTTGAAAGATGTGGGAGGTCTAACATGTTTGTATGTTCTGAGACTTTAAGGAAGTGCTGTCCTTAATCTCTGTAGTACCTGATTAATGTTCCAGTTGTGACCACAGATAATGCAGATATACTACAATAGATGCACTGGTGGCCTGAAGGTTAGAAAATCGGGCTTGTGACCTGAAGGTTGCCAGTCCAAGCTTTGAACTGGATTGATAAGTGAAAGAGCAGTGCTTCCCCCTCATTACCAACATTGAGGTGCCCTTGAGGTGGTGATCAAAATGCCTTAAGCCCATGGAAGGTGCTTGAGTTGCCGCATGTAAAGGAGGAATTCACAACAACATTCATTCATTCACACACACAGTCACACACTGATGCAGGGGAGGGTAGTAACTCATTACATGTTAAGCAAATGAGTAAAAAGCAACCTTTCACGTCAACTGTACTGTACTCTTTACTCGTAACCCAAATCCACTGATGCACTGATGGCTGCCAGGCAAGGCACCACCTGCTCGTCAGGGGCAGTTCAGTGTCTTGCTTAAGGACACTTCGACACTCTCTCTGTGCATGTTCTGTATGCATTGCGTATTTGCCCGCTTAAGTTGGTTTCTCTGAGAATCCTGGTTTATTGTGTGCATGTGAGTTATGCATTCCCGATTTTGCCCTATGAAAATTGTGTTCCTAAACAAGAAGCCATTCCTTTGCACTCCCAAAATAATTACTCAATGATTGATTACTCTTGATTACTTGAAACAAAACTCACTTTTACTCACAAAAGTATACTACTATAGCCATTGGTGGTGGTGATGGTGCACTAACCATCTTGTCTTTCCACCACAGTTTGACTTTGGTGATGTAGCTGTCCACCAGGCCATCCACACCATAGAGTACTGTCTGGGATGCATCTCCAACACAGCCTCCTACCTGCGCCTCTGGGCCCTCAGCCTGGCTCATGCACGTGAGTAAAAGCTTGCACACACACACACACACACACACACACACACACACACACACACACACACACAGAATTTTATGATATATATTTTGCAAAACATAATCTAAAGACGTAGATAGAGACATTTTGTCTTTATTTGACTATATACAGTAGTTGCATTAGTTCAATGACATTGACTTCAAAGATGTTTGTGTCATGTATGTTTTGGTGCAAACCTCGTTGTTGTATGTGCGTGCAGAGCTGTCAGAGGTGCTCTGGTCCATGGTGATGCACCTGGGTCTGTCCTCCAGGAGCGCTGGCGGGTTCTTTGGCCTGTCCATCATCTTCTCTGCCTTTGCCACGCTGACTGTTGCCATCCTGCTCATCATGGAGGGGCTGTCAGCCTTCCTACATGCACTGCGTCTACACTGGTTAGACACACAAACACACACACACCCACTAACACACACACACACACACACACACACACACACACACACTCACACACACTCACATACACTCACACACACTCACACATGCACACCCACACCCACACACACACACTCACACACACTCACACACACTCACACATGCACACCCACACACACACACACACACACTCACACACACTCACACACACTCACACACACTCACACATGCACACACACACACACACACTCACACATGCACACCCACACACACACACACACTCACACACACTCACACACACTCACACACACTCACACATGCACACACACACACACACTCACACATGCACACCCACACCCACCCACACACTCACACACACTCACACACACACACACTCACACACACTCACACACACTCACACAAGCACACACACACACATGCACACACACCCACACCCACACACTCACACACACTCACACACACACACTCACACACACTCACACACACTCACACATGCACACCCACACCCACACACACACACACACTCACACACACTCACACACACTCACACACACCCACACACACCCACACCCACTCACACACACACCCACTCACACACACACACACACACTCACACACACACACACACACACACACACACACACACACACACAAATGCGTTTAATTATATGTATTTGCACTGTGAGCACATGCGCCCATATACACATACATCACATGCACGGAGCACATGCAGCTCACATGTGGCAACACAATGAATTCCACATTGAGAGAAAACAAACACCCAGCGAGCTCTCATTGTTCACCTCTTGAACCATGTACCTCTGCCAAAGTTGAACTTCTTCAGTTTTACATGCACATGAGGAATGCCAGCAACCTGAAACATTCCTGACCCAACGTGGTCCAAACCAAACTGTGAGCGTCCAGGACTCCAGATAACCTCACACCGTCCAGCTCCATCGCCTCCTAGCACCACCTCCACCCTGCTGATCCAGCCTGCACCAGTGTAATCCATGACTGACACAGGGGTGTCAGTCATGGATTACCCTGGCACAGGACCACACCTGTAAGATACAGCCATGCAGTAATCAGACTTCATAAAAACATGTGCATGAGCAGGCTGTTAGTAATTACAGGTTGTAAGCAATATAACTTGTCGGAAGATAGCAGCTGTAATCCGGAATCATATTAAAAGACCCATTTTATTCTCAGTAACAGTTTTTTGAGAAGACGGACAACTGCAGAGAACTGAGGAGGAAGTGCTGTGAAAGTGACGTATGATATATGTTCATTATCCCAAGAGAGAAACATCCCTTTCAGCAGAGAGTGCATATTTAAATGCATCCAGTGATAACACTTAGGGACTGATTCATTTACAGTCCGATAGTTCTGCGTATCAAGTTTAAAAAGTAAAAATAACTACATACTGTGAGGGAGAGAGAGTTTTGTAAAAGTGAAAGAGTTGTTCCATTCAAAAATGAAAAAAAATAATAAAATATATATATATTTTTTTTTTCTCACGGAGGTTTTGTGGTACATTGTGTTAAAATAGTTTTTTTTGTAATTTGGGTGAATCAGCCCTTTAATATCCTGAACAAAGTTCCTGGGAAATGTGGCCGGAAAGTCACCAAAATTTGGATTAAGAATAATTGTCTGAGGACCATGAATATCTATACCAAAATTCATGGTAATGTGCTGAAATGATAGGTGTTTATGAAGTGTAGTTTTTTATATTATATAATATTATAGTTTCGGAACAACAGCTTACTTATGATAAGTGGTTTGTAATCACAATTCTTGTAGAGTAATAATCAGAAAAGACAACTACTGTACTTTTCTTGTTAGAAAACATAAAAGGCACCTAAAACTGTAGCTCAACACACTGCAGCTTAAGAAAACACATGCTCATAGACAATTTACAAATTAAGAAAACATATTCAACAATTTGACAACACGTGCGTAGCAATTAGAAAGAGTGCTGCAAAGTGAGAAAACACAGCCAAATACAGGAACATGGTGCAAATGGAGATAACACATCTCAATACAGAAACAATAGTACAGCCTGTTGTCTGTTCTTCCTCTGAGCCGTAGAGCTCTATTGTTGTCCACAAACTATTAAAACCCATCAGTGAGCCTCACTGTTGCACTGGGTGACATGTTCCTTCATCACCATGACACACACACACACACACACACACACACACACACACACACACACACACACACACACACACTGTAGTTTATTCTAACTCAGTCCCACACATGTCCTGCTGCCCCAGATACTCACTAGAGCTCCACATGTGGATTCATTTGCCACTGAAAAAAGTCCCCAAAATATTCACTGTTTGCTCCTGTTTGAGAAACGTTAAAAACCCCAGCGACCAGCTGTTTTAATCATTATTAATCTTTGTTTTTTTTTAATGAAACTATATATTTGGAGCTATTTTTCCAGATTTTCCAGCTTCAGTAGTAACCAATGAGTTTGTGAGAGCCAGAGACATAGGGAAGTCAGAAAGTATAGAGATGGACTAACACGTTGTTGGTTTTGGTCTGTTCAAAGGATTTATTACAATAAGACTTGGAGTGCTTAAACTGAGTAACAAAAAAGCTGTAAAATGGATTTGGTATTTAAATGACATGACCACTGAGTGAAACGGGGAGCTAAAAAGGAAGGGTGTCCTCTGAAGCAGGAGTCACACTGTCTGAACAGAATGGAGCTCAGTGCTTCAGCCATCACAAAGTGAGTCTTTCCATGATCTTGTCTAAAATGCATAAGCTTCCAGTGGCCCACAGAAAGAGGCTGTGGGTGTACTGCGCAGCTTTCAGGCTCCAGTGTGTGTAACTGTATGACTGTGTGGCACCTTGTTAATAAAGCAGCAGCTCAACGAGTCTCTGCTAAGGTTAAAAGGAGAATTGTAGTATTTTTCACAGAGGTGAGTGAATGGAAACAGTCATGTTCAAAGTAAGCAGCAGTCAACCTGGACCCTCTGCTCTGCTGTCCACTCTTCACACACACATGTTGATGAGTTATTTGCACAAACATACACCGCACACCAGAGTAAGTCGAGTGTAGTGTGTGTTAGGTATTTTTTCCACCTCCGCAGCTGTGTGGTGAGGCAGATGAGAGGATCTCTCATTTCTTTCCTCTTTTTAAGTGCTGCCCTCTCACAGCTCAGGCAGGCCAAATATTTGCCACGGCTGGGAGACATTCCTGGGCACTCCCCTGGCTGACTGAGGCCAGGAACCAGCGGGATCTGAAAATCCCCTCCTCTTAAATGAAGACATCAGAGGTTGTCAGGATTTTAGAATTACAGCATTCTAACTGTGGACGCAAGTACATTTAGCATCCTGAGGAAAATTCTAGGATTTAAGTAACAGAGAAAAACCTCAGAGGAAAAACAGACTGACTGCAATGATTTTCATTTTACTGCAGATGAATCAGAAAATTAAGTGCAGTTCACTTGTAGAAGACCCTTTCTGTAACTGGGTTGTATTTACAGTATATAGCACTTTTCTACCTTAATGAGGTGCTATGCAAAGGTGCTGGACTGCCACAGCCGCCCCAGTGTATACTACCGTTTAAAAAAGTTGTTACACTATCTTAGAAAGCGATAGCTGGGATAAAAAGAACATGTGGGTGTTTATTGTCTTAAAGCTCTCTGAAACTTTGTTTCATTTTAAGACATTAACCCCTTAATTTGGGGGAAATGGGCAAGAATGAACAGAATCTGTATTTTGAAAAGTGCGGTTATCATTCTCCATACGTTTCCAGCTCCCGTGTCGTCTGAGGTAGCAGGCACAATGGAAAGGTCTTCAAAAACTGATCAACAGGATCACATATTTGTTAAAAAAGTTCATTTTCAGTATGACATGAAAATAACTTTTCCTGAATGAGCAGGCAGCTTGTCATTGTATTGGTAGATTTTTGAGATGTGTCAGTGACTGTGACTCTCAGCAGCCATATTTGGTCACATAGCAATCTGAGCTTGTGCAGACCATAAGACTGTTTTCCTTATAAATGTCCCATCCACTGACTCTCACAGTTCATTTGTACCTAGTGCTCTCATGTGTGTGTGTGTGTGTGTGTGTATGTGTGTGATGTGTGTGTGAATTTCCCCAATGTCATGCTGCAGTGCAGCTATAAAATGAATCTGAGGCTTTATTGAATCATGTTCCGGAAGTAGAATGAACCAGTCTCATGGCTTATAACCTTCCTGCTTTAACCAGAGTGGGTTAAAATCAAGTGCAACTGGTTGAAAATACTTTCGCACACGAACACGTTTCGCCTGTCATCCAAGATGCTTCTTCAGTTCTGAGTGACTGGCAGGGAATCCCAGCTATTTAGCCTCTGTGCAGTCGTTATCAATGTGATGGATACGCTTGGCTCGTTAGTTCTCCTGGTTGTTGTAACGAGTAGAGTCGCTATGGTCATTAGAGTCTCCTGAGGCCAAGTCTGAACAGCCGTTGTTGGCATTGTCACAAAGGCCAGAAGACTTTGTTCACTCTGGATGAAAAAGGGATGAAAGGACAGCATTGTAGGTGGGGGATAAGTGATGTTGCAGACCTCTCCTCCTATTGAGAGATAGTTTCTCTACTCTGGTGTAAATGGCTTCTATCACTCCTCTTTCAAAGCATCTGTCCTCCCTTCCAAAATATGTACATTGTAGTCCTTGAAAGAGTGTCCCTTGTACTTCAAATGTAAGTAAACTGCTGAGTCTTGACCTGAGGAGTTAGCCCTTCTGTGTTGAGCCATGCGTTTGTGTGGACCGCATACACTAGATTGCTTTTCTTGTGTTTGGGTGTGTGGTCTTTGGGGTGGACCAGTATCTGTCTTAGTGTGTTCTTGGGTTTACAAAACACAGGGATGTGGTGTTTGTTGAAAATCCTCCTTAGTTTCTCTGATATTCCACAATGTTGTTGCGTTTACTCTTCTTTTCTTTATCATGCGTAGTGTTGATGTTCTTCCTGGGTCTTGTGGCTGTTTTCACAAAGGTCCAGTTGGGATATCCACAAATGGCTCTTCAGGTGTCCATGCTCCTTCTCTTGGGCACGGGCACTTGTTGGTATGTTATCAGCTTGGTGGTGCAACTGGTGTTAAAACTACCATTTTCTTGGGTTTATCCTTTCTATATGGTTTTAATCGTTATAAATGTTGGTAATTCCCAAATATGTACTCACTTTCTAATTATCCGATTCCTAATAATCGGTTTGAAATGTTAGTAACACATTCATTAAGGGGTTTTGATCCATCAAGTCTGTAGTTTAGTAGATTTCGGTCCAATCCAAGTGGTCAATAGGAATCTGGGATTGGCAACTGGCAACCCAAGCTTTGTTGTTATTAATGTTTATAACTAATCAACTGAGTGTTAGAACATGATTTTACCATTAATAAAGCCAATAGTCAAAACTTACAAATTTAACCACCTACAGAGACACACTTTAATTTATACAGTATGAGTATAGCAATTATAATAGTTTGAGTCTCTTGGAACAAAATGTTCAAATTCCGACATTAGCAAGCAGACCCAGCTCCCACACAACACATGGGAACAATACTGATGTGTTTGCTGGAGTGAACCAGTGCTCTTTCATACATCCTGTAGTAGTGTGAGCTTCTTATGTAGACACAGAAGCTTCTGGTAGAACTACATGAAGCCATGTGACAAACAAGGCTGGCTGTAATTGTTCCTTAAAATCATCCAGTCGCTGCCATGCAGGCTACTTCAAATAAGATAGAGACTATTGTCATTTTTATCATGGTCATTTCTTAAAACACTTTTTCAGCCATTTCACTAAACGCCTTTTGATATTGATATTCATCAACACTGTACTTCAGGACATACATGCCAACTGTTCTGGTTTCATGTTTGTTTTGACTGGAAAAGTCAAAGTCATTTAAAAAAGTGATCACTGCCACGTCAGTCGCTCTGTTGGTATGACCGCTAAGTGAAGATGTCTGATTAGAATAAAGATGTTTTGGCGGTAGTTGCCTGTCAGACAATGAGTCAGGTCGGCCAGGAAGACACAGTACTGATTGTATCAATCCATCGTCAAGCGCTTGTCGCGGGGGCTGGAGCCAATCCCAGCTGCGATGGGGCGAAAGGCGGGGTACACCCTGGACAGGCCGCCAGTCCATCGCAGGGCCACATAGACAGACAAACACTCACACTCCAAAGGACAGTTTAGGGTCACCAATCAACCTAGCCTGAATGTCTTTGGACGGTGGAAGGAAGCCGGAGCACCTGGAGAGAACCCATGCAGATACGGGGAGAACATGCAAACTCCACACAGAAAGGCCGGGGCAATTATCCTTTAATGTAGTGTGCATATAAATGACAAAATGTGGAGTTGTAGGCCATGATGAACGTATTTGTAAACTGACTACAAAGCAATATGATTCCTCCCAGTATTTGATCAGTATGTCCAGAAATGTTTCATTTTTCATTTTACTCCACAGTTTATATAATAAATAAATAAATAAATGTTTGGATTAAATGGATGGATTGATTTGTTGTTTCCTGATCATGATCCAGGGTTCTTTTGAATAGAGAACAGAGATGCTCTTTTGAAAGTTTCCAAAATTGTTGGCAGCAGCCTCCCAAATCCAACATCAGTTAGGCTCTGTCTGCTTTTAGTCATGTCAATGCTTGTTGGTTATAAACTGTATCTATCTGGTGGTCAAACAGTCAGTGGGTCAAATATGTTGACCATTTTGAGAATAATATCAGATAAAAACAGGAAGTTGCCTGGTGTGTTTGATGGACAAGTGTATAAGAAGAGCCACCAATCAGACAAAACTCACTGCTCGCTGTCCAAGCTCACAGTTATTTTCTTATTAACTGACAAACAGTGTTTCAGCTTGAGAACAATCTTCCCCAGTTCACCCTGACAAGAATAATATTCAACACTTTCATCTTGTGACATGTCTATATAGATGTTTTTAAACCCCAGTTTCACCACCACTTTCTTCCTGTTTCTCCTCCTTTTCAGGGTGGAGTTCCAGAACAAGTTCTACGTCGGCCAGGGCTTCAAGTTTGTCCCTTTCTCATTTGAGAGCATCCTGGAGGGACGATTTGATGAGTGAGCAGGCCTCAGCCCCTCTAGGATGAGCCAGTAGAGTCCCCAGCCTTCCCTTCTCTCCTCGGTGTATGTGATTGTGTGTGTGCGTGCATGAGAAGTGCAGCCCTCTGTCACCCTCTAGTGGTAATTTGTGAAACTTGTGTATGAGCTATAATGTAGTACTTGTTAAGGGTTTTTCCAGTGCACATGTACCAAGCCGTACCAATCCTTTATAATATAATACTGTAAGCAAAGGATTTCAAGGATTTCTCCTTGCCAAGAAATCTGTCAAGGAGATTCTGTAATGCCAATTATATGGATAACTTCCTCTATCTGTGAGAGGGACTGCTTACCTTGATGCACCCAAACATCTGTGCTTTCGCTGTCAGTGTAAATGTGTTCAGATCCACCACAGTTATGAGGCAATACATAAATCAGCTGTTGGATCTGCCTGTAGCACCAAATCTTTGCATCTTGGTGTAATGTCCTGTAGTGAGTCTACATCAACATTGCCTCTCCTAATAAACTGCACTACAGTTTTGTTGGAAGAGCGTGTGGAACCAGGTTTTCTCAATGTGGTTAGGTGTTGCCTGGAACTGAACCAGGATCCAGAATTGAAATAAACTATTTCAGACCTGTGGAAGGTAGCCTTCCTTACGTATATGTACAGCATGGAACACTTGCAATGGAAAAACCTTCATCCTGCTCATGAAAAAGACTGTAAGACCAGCTGTCTTACTCCTGTGTAATCAGAGAGTTTACAAACAAACATTGCAGAAATCCCAGTGTTTACCCTGAGCTCGATGTTTTACTGCACCTCATGTACTCCATCCAAAAGAATTGACAAATTATCAAACAGTGCAAGGAAGTAAAGAAATTGAGACAAAAGGCAGAAGAATTGTTATGGTACATTCGTATACAGTTAGAATACATTCCATAGGTAAACACTGTATCAAAAGCCCAGTCATAAATGCTGAGATCTCTGAATGCGGTGATGTCGCTACATAGGAGTCTTAAACACAAGCAGTCAAGATAAAATGTACTGTAGTTCCAAGATCTCAACTATTACTAAAATTAAGAGTGAAGTTGGAATGTGCTTAACTTCTGCCACAGCTACCACTCACTGCAGAGTTGTAGTACTGCCATGAAATACAAAGTGTTGTATGGCCAGAATTCAATATTCTATATATTATATAACTATGAAGCAATCAGAGTACTCCCAGTATTTGATCAGTAGCCTACCCAAAAGTCACATTTTTTATTTCTACTTAATTTGCCTAGAAACTCCACCAGTTTATAGAATGTAAGGATCAGATGTATTGATTTGTTAATATCTGACCATGACCCAGTGTTGTTTTGAGAAGAGAAAACAGTAGTCCATGATGAGATGAAGACATGGTGTCCTATGTGCTGTGATTTGTAACTTCCCTCTCAGTTGTTGTTGGAAACCAGTTGAAGAGCTGATCTGATGCATTTATGCTAAAATATCTCAAAGAATTGTGACACAATGTTGTCCATCCTTTGTTTTTGAAAAATGTACACTACATTTTCAACATATCTAAAGCTTTAATTTTGAAACAGAAAGCAGCATTTTTAATAAATTCTTCCATCTGGTCACTACGCCCATAAAGGGTTAAAGAAGGTGATGATTTAAAGTGTGCTGTGCTGAACCATCTCTCTTCTGCTCAAACTGAGGCACAGGTTAGATTCACAGTAACAATCATGGTAGTATTTTTATGATTTCATGGTTTGTTTTGTTTCAGAAAACATGCTTTTTAAGTCTCTACATCAGATGTTTCAGTTTTATTTGCATTCTGATGCCAAAAGGCTCCAGAGCAAACAACACATGTCAGTGACTGGTGTTCTGGAAAGTGATGTGTTTGTGATCAATAATAAATAGAGACCAGGGGATTCATCTTGTGTCCTGTTTTTTCTCGCGCTCTGTTTGGGCAAAGCTGGTAAACCCTAAGATCCTCAGGAGCGCTGAAGGCCACAGGTTCCCTCTGTGGTAATTAGCAGCATCAGAGCCGTAGCTGGAATTTTAGAAACACTGTCTTAATCTCCCAGTCCCCACAGACACTTGAAAAACATCTGTAAAATGTTTTGCAGGTTTAATTTATTTAGCTGTGTCACAGTTTGCATCCCTCTCACTCCCTTCCTGCAGACATACACTCTTCCCCAGCCTTCTGCACCACCCTCTTTATCTGTCCCTAGATACATCCCAAGTGTCTTAACTGTATCCCTGTTCCTCTCACTTCTGTCTTTTCAAATAAACTATGCGAGGAGAGAAGAAATAAGGAACTTTGTTTTTAGAGCAACTAGACATTCTTTCCACCAAAGTGTCACGTGAAGAGACGTCTGTCTCTGTTGACAGCGGCAGCTAATCACAGCTGGATCAGCTGTTACTAATAAAGGCTCACAGCTATCAGAGCAGAGCAATTCAATTTCAATTCAATTTTATTTATATAGCGCCAAATCACAACAACAGTTATCTCACAGCGCTTTTCATAAAAGAGCAGGTCTAGACCGTACTCTGTGATGATATTTACAGAAGCCCAACAGTTCCCACCAAGAGCAAGCACTAGGCGACAGAGGCAAGGAAAAACTTCCTTTTAAGAGGCAGAAACCTCGAGCAGAACCATGGCTCAGGGTGGGCGGCCATCTGCCTCGACCGGTTGGGGGGGGGAGGAGAGAGAGAGAGAGAGAGAAGAGAGTGAAAGAGAGAGAAGAGAGTGAAAGAGAGAGAGAGAGAGAAAGAGAGAGAGAGAGAGAGGGATGTAAGGAGAGAGAGAGGGGAGGGAGGCAGCCTACACAATATACACACAGAGGTACAGACAGCGAAGGTAATGTTGCTATAAACTAAATGAAAAATGGTACAGATATTTATAATAGTGTTAATGGTAACCATCGTAATGTTAATGATTATAATAACAATAAGACCAGCGACAACAGTCGCTGCAGTAGAGGGTGTCGAGCAGGAACACAGGGGCAGCAGGCGACCCGCAGCCACAGATCCAGACTCCACAGCTCCAGAGCCAGAAAACCTGCAGGAAGTGATAGGAGGAGAGAGGAGAGGGACGAGAAAGCACAAGACTACCAGAAAGGGGAGAAGTTGTGTTAGTAACATGCAATAATGGGATAAGGTTGCATACAGAGGGAGAGAAAGTAGAGGAGAGAGGAGCTCAGTGCATCATGGGAAATCCCCCGGCAGTCTAGGCCTATAGCAGCATAACTAAGGGATGGTTCAGGACTACCTGAGCCAGCCCTAACTATAAGCTTTATCAAAGAGGAAAGTCTTAAGCCTACTCTTAAATGTGGAGATGGTGTCTGCCTCCTGAACCCAAACTGGAACCTGGTTCCACAGGAGAGGAGCTTGATAGCTGAACGCTCTGGCTCCTAGTCTACTTTTGGAGACTCTAGGAACCACAAGTAACCCTGCATTCTGGGAGCGCAGTGCTCTGGTGGGGTAGTAAGGTACTATGAGCTCTTTAAGATAAGATGGTGCCTGACCATTAAGAGCTTTGTAGGTAAGAAGAATGATTTTAAATTCTATTCTGGATTTTACTGGAAGCCAATGCAAAGAAGCTAAAACAGGAGAAATGTGATCTCTTTTCCTGGTTCCTGTCAGAACACGTGCTGCAGCATTCTGGATCAGCTGAAGAGTCTTAATGGACTTTTTCGAGCAGCCTGATAATAAGGAATTGCAGTAATCCAGCCTAGAAGTAACAAATGCATGGACTAGTTTTTCTGCATCATTTTTAGACAGGATGTTCCTGATTTTCGCAATATTACGTAGGTGAAAAAAGGCGGTCCTTGAAATTTGCTTAATGTGGGACTTAAACGACATGTCCTGATCAAAGATAACTCCAAGATTCCTCACAGTGGTGCTGGAGGCCAAGGCGATGCCATCCAGGGAAACTATATCTTTAGATAATGCGTCACGGAGGTGCTTAGGCCCCAGAACAATAACTTCAGTTTTATCTGAGTTTAACATAAGAAAATTACAGCTCATCCAGGTTTTAACATCCTGAAGGCACATTTGAAGTTTAGCTAACTGATGAGTTTCATCTGGCTTGATCGATAGATATAACTGAGTATCATCTGCATAACAATGAAAGCTTATGGAATGTTTCCTGATAATATTGCCTAAAGGAAGCATATATAAATCCCTAGAGCAGCATGTTTTCTCTCTGTAGCTGTTTAAAAAACACCTGCACATGAAGAACAACCTGCAGTCTGTATTTATACTGCATCCTGCTCAGAGGCAGCATCACTTCTACTGGCAGAAGGCTATTTATTCGTTATCTGTTTGTTATTTCGTTACATGTGGTGTTGTATAGTCATATTGTGGTGCTTTTTTTATAATTTTGCATTTTTGACTTTGACGCTCGTGTTTTTAGGCCAGCAGGATTGCTATACTCAAGACAAGAGCATAGGTGCAAGTATTGGCAAGTATGGCAAAATGCAGTGCACTATGAGTACCCGGATGGTGTACTTACAACAGTCACAAAGTTGAGTGTGTAATGCTGGACGCTGCAGAGCCCTCCGGTCCTGAGCCGTGCACATCCCATGCCAGTTTGTGATGTTTCCAGTCAGGATGCTTTCTACAGGAACTTGGCGTGGGAATTTGGCCTTCTTAAGCTTCCTCAAGAAATCCAGTCATTTCTGAGCTTTCTTCACCAGTGTGGAGATGTGAGACGACCATGTCAGGTTCTCTGTGATGCTGATTCCCAGGAACCTGAAACTGTTCACCTGCTCCACCTCAGCTCCACTGATGTAGACAGGAGAGTGTGCAAAATGTGGTTATGAACATACTGAAAACACCTGGAAAAACTGCTTTTATACAAACCTTCATCAAAGTCTAGTTTCACTTTAACACTGCAACTTCTTTGTATCAAAACATCCAGTTATTGAACAAATCAATTATTTACTTGTTCAATGCTATGGTGTGCCAGAATTTTCTTCAATTAAACAGATAAAACTGAAGTGATTGTTTTTGGAGCAAAGGACGAATGATTAAAAGTCAGCGCTTAACTTCAGTCAATAATGTTCAAAACCACAAACCAAGGTGGAAGTTTTGGTGTAGTATGAATTACATAAGTGACAGATTACATATGATATGAATGATCTGATTCTGATAAATAATGAAAAATGCACTCCCATGATTGCCAATCCATTTGATTTCTTTGTCCTTCTCCCTCTCACCACTGTTCTCCTGGAGTTTCAGTTTTTTTTTTTGAAAAGCCCTGCATCTCAAAAAGATTAAGAATCATAAAGAAAAAAGTCTCGGATCTATTTATCTATCTATCTCTGTATTATCTAATCCGATAATGCATTAATGCCCATGAAAATAAAATATGATATTGTCAAGGCAACAGATTGCACGTTACTCCACACTACTCAGTATGCCTGCATTTAGAGTGAACATGAGAGAATGGAGAGAGAAAGCGAGCATTGGTTATAGCTTTAGGGGTTATAGGCAACTAGTGAATTGTCTCTAGCATTCATTTTGATTTAAACATTTAAATATAATCAAGTTCAAGTGCAAAATCACCAAAATACATGGTCCCAGTACACTTTACAAAATGCATTGAAATTAAATAAAATAAACCATCAACTACATAATGCATGTAAGAAAACACAACATAAAATACAATCAGAATAAAATCAGCAAAATAAAATCATAAAAAAGATTTAAAATTAATAAAAACAAATAATTTAAGGTTTGCTCAATCCTGCCCTAGATTCCCGAACCCAAATTGGGACTGGTTCCATAGTAAGCTGCGTTTCGACCAACAGAACTATACCCCAGAACTATGAACCTTTGGAGGAATTCACTGCGTTTCCACCGAAGGGACCAGGGTCTAAATTTAGTTCTAGGGTCTTTATTTTACCTCCCAAAATGTCCCTGCTCGGGGGGGTTGTACTTTCCAAAAGTACCGGTACTTTGAGGGGAGGCTTGCCTTGCAATAAATTTCTGAATGGGAGAGTAGAGGCTACTGGCTTTAAATCAGGTATGTTGGCTGTTTTTTCTACGACTGCTCCTCTCTTTTCTAGCGTTGTTTGCAAACCAATAAATCACAATCAACAGTCAGATAGCCACACATGTCTCGCCGATGTCCGCCTGAGATCATCCGTCGGCATTAAATGTAGGCTATTGCTCGAAAATAGTAGCCAGCGTGCAGCTGTGTGTTTACAGCGAACAGCTGATGGAGCTACGCTAAATACTGGGTTCAAAGTTGTTGTTTTAAGTTTTTAGGAAGTTTTAACACAGCGCTGAAGTCGGTCTCCTCCTCTCCAAAACAAGCAGAACAGCTGATTATAGCAGGTAATAAAGCTTGTTAGACATCCCCTTCCTTCAACGCTCAGGCGACACAGACGTGATGCTGCAGCTGATCTGCTGCTCTTGTCAGCTGGAAATGTTTTAATAAGTCGCAATTTTATTTTTGTGTTGTTTTCTCTGTGCTGGAGCTGTTTTATGAACTTTGTCACACTCTGCATGTCTGTCTCTGTTTTCCCCTACACTCTCTCTCTCTCCCTACCTGTGCCTCGTTAGCCTCATGTCTTTCACCTGTGTTGCTCCCGCCCTGCTCATTAGTCCCTGTGTGTGTGTATATATACCTTGTGTTTCTGTCTTGTCTTTGTCGGGTCATTGTTTATTGTCACCCAGTGTTGCAGTTTGTTCTCGTGTCTTCAGCCTTACTCGCCCTGTCTCCCTGTTACCCTACTCATTTTTGGATTCTGGTTTTCACCCTTTTGGATTTCTGTTGGACAGCCTTTGCTTTTGGACTCAGCCACTCTGTTTGTAAGTGTGCTCGTCTTTTGTTTGCTTATTAAAACCCTTGTGAACTGTTCCTGCTGGCTTTCGTGTTCTGCATTTGGGTCCTCCAACCTACTACCTGCTTCACCCATACC